CTGTCTCTGTCTGTCTGTCTCTCTCTCTCTTAGAAACACACATACTACTGGAAAAAGAGGAATTTTATCTCAGTAAACATTTCTCATGTTAAACAAAGCAATATCCATTCAGTTTGAAGCCACAACTCTATATAATGTAATACCAGGGACTAAAATTTTGAGTATAGAATCACTGAGGAAGAAGAGGACAACCTAAAATACAAACAGAAGATATAGACTCCAATAGGAATAGAATATTCTTAATAAACTGTGAACAAATCAAATAGGAAAAATAATGAAAGCTGCTGCCATGATGGCAGACATATCTTGTCTAAAACATATTCATTTTCCTAATTATTACTACCAGAAAAAATAAGATAGGTTATAATGCAACTCCTGATGTGGTATACTGACAGTATTCTTTCTGCATTACTTTTCTCAAAAAGCATACAATCTAATCCAGGTACTACTGAGAAGATCTGAGATCAGAGTTCAAAGAAACTTGGGAAGGAAAGACTTTGAGACCCTGTCTCTGATTAACCAGCAAAAAAGGTTTAAGTGGAGTTATCCAGATGTAGAGCAACAGAGCTAAGGGCAGTACCTAGTCCTTGACTTCCAGTACTTCCATAAAGACACGAACACACACACACACATACACACACACACACACCAATCAAACAATCTGAATTTAATCTATAGAAAAGGATAAAAAGACATTTTAAAATGTAATTCATAATTAATTCTTCCTTTAAAAAATTCTGGTTTTGTGAGATGTAATATTAAAAAAATGCCACTAGATGGAAGAGAAACCCCACAATAAACAAAAATGCTGTTTAGTAGTCATAAGGAAGCCATAGAATTAGTGTTCTATCATCAAGGAACAGGCTCTGAGCTTGGGCATTTGACTATGATAAGGGACACTCAGGAGGAGCTGCCTGCAGGCTGAATTGTGGGGAAAAGTCTTCTGTCTTTGGTATTTGGAGACTGGAAGCTGGGCTTGCCTCTATTTCCTGCTTTCTTTCTCAGCACAGGCCATCTTTTAAGAATTGATTCATATTATCCAGAGATATGTGTCCTTGGCAAAGAGGCCTTTAAGAAGTGTGTGAGGTCATGTGAGGTCAATGGAGCTGTAGCAAACCCCGTAGTACTAATACCATTAGGAGATGAGGCATTGGGTTGCTCTGTCTCTGTGTCTGTGTCTGTCAAAGGTATCAAAGGCCTCAGAATGTTCCAAGAAGTTGAACAGTTAGAAAGACCAAATAAGATGATAGCTCCTGATTTTGCAACTTCAGAATTTTGGTTTAAAAAATACTTTGCTTTGTCTGCCCAGACTAAGATATTTATGTTTTTCATGGCAATGCAGGCAGAGTAAGGCACCAAACCAGCTCTCTCTGAACAGGATCAGCCTCCCTCAGGAGATGACTTCTGGACATGGAGTCACAGCCTTGCTTCTCTTCTGTCTGCTCTGACCTTGGGGAGGAAGCAGGACTGAGGCTTCATCCTGAGGATGCTTGCATTCAACGAGAACATTTCCTTGAAAATAAAAGTGTGAGCCTGCTTCGTTTTCTGATCAGAATCAGAAAAAATGACTATCTGCAATGTTTCATTGGTTTTGTTCGTAGATGCATATGCATTTTTTTTTCTCCTGCCCAGATGCCAGTGAACACCTTATATGGACATGGTCTCCTTCCTGTGTCCTAGCAAGAATATAAAGAGCATCCCAGACAGGAATCAACAGAAACCAAGCCTGAATCCTGAACTCCTGCTCACTCCCTGCCTGGTCATCAAGTCTACCAGAGTTAGGCTGGGGTCTGGACATAGGTCACTCTAGCCATCAGCAGCCCATTGCCTTTGAGGCACATGAACTTCCTCCTGTCACCACTAGAAGGGGAAATTTCACCATAGCTGCTGCCCTGCAGGGGGCAGCTGGAAGCCTGGGAACTTCTTTAAGAACAGGTGTTGGAGTGGAGTGGAGGCTGAGGAATGAGGGTTCAGCTCTGAAATGACATCAAGACCTCCTCCCATATCCTTCTGTTTCTCATACAAGGACACCTCCAATGATTCTGCTCTGCATTTCTGAATGAGGACTTCTCAGTTTTCTCACCCCACTTGCCTCTTACACTATGCTCACAAGCCAATTCTTCCCTACTTCTCACATAGCTGTTCTTGAGTTGAGCTTCAGTTCTTTCTCCAGATCTTGGACTCTGGCTTACTACTGTCTCTACAGTACTTTAAGAATCTTCCTTGGTTAATTGTGGTTATTGACAAACTTCCAAGGAAGTGATATATAGATAGAGGATTACATATGGAGAATTTGTAGCCTTTCAGGAACAGATTCCTAGGTGAGCAGAGAAACCCTCATTGCTGCAGGTCAGAGAGGAGGCTGACAGTGGTCTGTGTGGTTCTTTGTTCTGTGCCGACCTAGATCCTACCAAGGTATATGCCCTGAGTGATATGAAATCCACGGGAAATAAATTCATTGTAAATTCCTCACCCATAGCTTCTCTGAACATGGATCCTTGATATCCTGAGGTTCCAGAGCATCTGGTTTTCAGTGTCTTAGATCCATTTAGATAACCTTTCATTCTCAAAATTCAAAACAAATTTCTCCATTAGCAGGAATACAGGAGGAGTTTCTTGTTGTTTCGAGGTCTTGGCTGTGGAGAAGACAATGAGAATGCTCAGTCAGTGTTGGTTTTATGTCCCCAAGGCAAGTTACCAAAAAATAAAGTCATATATTACCTTAGACAGGAAAATTTTATCTCAGTGTATCCAAATATTGTGAATATTGAACCATGGTGTATTTATAGGATTTCACATCCTGTGCAAGAGTCAGTCCCAATCAGCACACAGCATGGACCTGAGGGCCCCTGCTCAGCTCCTGGGGCTTCTGCTCCTCTGACTCCCAGGTAAGGAAGAAAAATGTTGGGCCAGTGTGGCCAGTACTGGTCATTATCAGGGAACTTAAATAAGAGTAATGTTGTTAACTTTTTTATAGAGAAAATACCGTAGGGGTTATATTTACATGGGCAAGATAATGAGTACATTTCTTATCAATCGTTGTTGTCTCCTCTTTTGTTTCCCCTTCCCATTCCTTCCCATCAAAGTTGTAAAGTTCGTTTTTTGACATACCGATTTGTACATCTCATTGTTACAATGGGTCCACCTGTATCCCTAGTTAAGCGATTTGTTTTTTTCCTTCTTCTCCATAGATTATACCAACATCAAATACAGTGAAAACAGGGGTTATGCAGTGGTGGAGGGATATACAAAGCCACAAAGAAATCATCTTATAAATATGTTAGAAACAATTGCATGACAGCAAAAGTATTTGAATACTTATTTTGGGGTTCATTTCACCTAACATTAACTTATCTGACCTTTTCTGCTTGTCTCAGACATATACTAGTTATTGAAAATAAGGAAAACAATAGGACCTATGTTTCCTTGGGTTTGGCTTACTTCACTTAATATGATTTTTCCAAGTCTTTCTATTTCCTAACAAATGGGGTGATGTCATTCTTTCTGATGGAAACATAGAATTCCATTGTGTATATAAACCACATTTTCTTGATCCATTCATCTACTGAGGGGCATCTGGGTTGGCTCCATACTTTAGCTATGGTAAATAATGTTTTAATAAACATAGTTGTGCTGGCAGTTTTAGTATGGTCATGTTTGTGATCATTTGGGTAAATGCTTAAAAGTGGGATTGCTGGGTCCTAGGGGAGAGCTATGTGGAGTCTTTTGAGGAACCTCTATACTATTTTCCAAAGTGGTGGAACAAGTTAAAATTCCCACCAACAATGCAGTAAGGTTCACTTCTGTCCACATCCCCTCCAGCATCTGTGTTATTAGAGTTCTTGATTATACCCATTCTAACTGGGGTGAGGTGGTATCTCAATGTTGTTTTGATTTGCATTTCTTTTATGGCTAGAGAGGTTGAGCATTTCTGCATGTTTCTATTGGCCATCCTTCTTTCCTCTTCAGAGAAGTTTCTCTTTAAGTCTTTAGCCCAGTTTTTTATTGGGATGATGTTATCTTTGTTGTTATGTTTCCAATGTCGGATGCAAGATGTGACATTCAGATGACCCAGTCTTCATCCTTCCTGTCTGCATCTCAAGAGATAGTCTCCATCACTTGTAGGGCCAGTATGAGTCATGGTACCAATTTAACCTGGTATCAGCACAAACCAGGGAAAGCTCCTATGTTCCTGATCTAATATGCAATGTGTTTACAATTTGGGGTTCCATTCAAGTTTTGTGGCAGTCGATTTTGGACAGGGTTCACTTGGAACAGCAGCAGCCTGCAGCCTGAAGATGTCACTAGTTATTATTATCAACATGGTACTGGTTTTCCTCCCACCGTAATACGTAACAAAATCCTATTTACCTGTATAACTGGAAACAGCAAATTTTATCTTTTGTGAAATACCCCAGGGGCTCATATCCTTATTACAGACAGTATTCTTCACATATCAGCCCACCTGGGATGATTGTCAGCAACATTTACAGGTGCTTTTAACCTGGGAGGAAAGAGAGTGAATCCAGCACAGTGCCTTGAAGGCAGTCCAGGTACCAGATGGTTTCCCCACTGATGACCCAGTCCATTTGGAGGAAATCTTTCCTCAGACTTGCCCAAGCTGGGACTACAAAATTGATTGAGATAAGGAGACACTTTTCAATTATCACCACTGTGTTAGCAGAGATACAGGCAGTGGCTAGGAAACCAACTAATTTATCTATGTGAGTGAGACTGTACAGCTCCCCAGTGAGTCCCCTAATGCTTTTCTGGAATGGCTCCTAGAAGCCCCTAGGACCTATATGGCTATCTATCCTGAGGCCCTGGAGAATTGAAAAGCACTAAATATGGCCTTTGTTACCCAATCAGCCCCAGATATTTGAAGAAAGCTGCAAAAGTTAGAAGGTTTTGAAGGAAAGGAGTTATCTGCATTGGTAGTGGTTGCTCAGTGGGTGTTTGATAATAGAGATACCCTGGAACAAAATAGTCTAAGAAAGAACTTCAAGTTTGGGTAGCAGCACCAGGATATAAATTAAGAAACCCTTGGTGAAAACAGTATAATTCATTTGCAATGGCAGTAGGGAACCTCTAGGAGGAGATCAGTGTGTTTACTGAAAGCCAAAGGACAATGTGATGTAACTGTGGAGATGATGTCAAAAAGCGATAGTTATGGTACAATGGCATGTCTGACCTCAACTGTCCTTAATTCAAAATGATGATATGGTTACCCAAAGATACTCTGATGTCCCAAAGGCCATCTGTTATTTCAAAGGTGTTAAGAGGTCATAATAGGTTTATGATGTCACAATGGCAATGTGATTCACAAAGGGTTGGTGTTGTCACAGTGGTGATGAGGTCTCCATTGGATAGTGATGTCACGACTAATTTGTAATATCACCATCACATGTCCAATTTCAATTGCTACAACATCACAATGAAAATACCATTTCACAGAAAGAGCTATAAGTCAGAAAGGCCATGAATTTTCTAAAATATTATGAGGACATAATGGGTTTGTGAATACACAATGAGACAGTGATATTACATTGACAATGTAATGTTACAATATCATGTCATAATAACGTTTTGATGTCACAATTAGTTGGTGATTCCATACCAGTGATGAGGTCACAATAGGCTTGTTATGTTGTGATGGTTTGATGATGTCATTTCATAATGCTATGATGTCATTGTAGTTTGGTGAAGTCATAATGAGCTGATAGTGTCATAATGACAATGTAATGTCACAGTGGTGATGATATCACAAAGGGTTTATGATGTTACAATGGCATGATTGATCTCAATTGTTATTAGTTTACAATATTATCATACAAAGAGACTAGGTTTTCTCCCAAACCTATTATGAACTCATAACCTTTTAGAAAATTCCTGGTCTTTGGCACTTCTAGCTCCTACCTTGAACTTATATGCTAATTGTGAACTAGTAACAATTGAAATTGGACATGCCATTGTGATATTACAAACTCATTAGTACATTACAAATCCATTGTGACCTCAAAAACAGTGTGAAATCACGAAAGTATTAGGACCTCAGAAAATTTGAAAAATACCTGGCCTTTGTGACATCACAGTCCCTTTTTGTACCCATACCCCATTGTGAACTAATGACAATTGAGATCAGACATATCATTGTAACATCACAAACCCTTTGTGGCATCATCAGGAGTGTGACATCACAGTGTCATTGTAACACTTACAACTCATTGTGACATCACACAAAAAATGACATAATAGCATTATGATATCACATTGTCACAGTGATGTCATATACACATTTGAATGCCTATTCTGATTTCATTCTATTCAAATACGGCATGCGTGTTGATATCAGAAACCTATTTTGACCTCATGAACATTGTGACATTGCAATCCCTTTTGACATCATGTTGCCGTTGTGATATCACTAACCCACTGTGACTTCACCAACTTGTTCTAATCTCGTAACTGTTTGACATGATAACATTGTGATATCCTAGGCTTGTTGTGGGCTCACAGTCTGTTTTCGACCTATTTCAGGTAAGATATGTGATATCAGGAATCCACTGTGACATCATGACCATTGTGACATCTCACTGTCAGATATCATGACCATCGTGTCACATATGTGCCAACACCTACGTTTTGAGACATCATAATCCCTTTGTGAACTCACATATTCATTGTGAATTTATGACAATTGAGACCTGACATTCAATTTTGACTTCACCCATTGTGACATCACAAACCTATAGTGACCTCATCACAAGTATGACATAAGTAACACATTGTGATATCAAAATATTATTATGACATGATATTGTGAGATCACATTGCCGTTGTGATATACATCTCATGGTGTTTTCACTAACTTATTGTGACCTCTTAATATTTTAGAAAATTCATATCCTTTAGGAATTCAAGTTCTATCTGTGAACTTGTATCCTCATTGGTAACTAGTAGCAGTGGAAATGGGGCATGTCATTGTGATAATAGAAACTTGTTGTGACATCCCAAACCCCTTGTGACCTCATCACAGCTGTGACATCAAATCCTTTGTGACATCACATTCCCATTGTGAAATCACAGTCACATTGTGACAGCCCAAATATATTTTGACCTCTTAGCTTCTTTGAGAAAACATGGCTTTTGTGACATCACAGTCCCTTTGTGAACCCATATCCTCATTGTGAACAAATGACAATTGATATCAGACATGCCATTGTATCATCACATTGTATCATCCCATTGTGACATCACATTGCCATTGTAACATAATGATTATATTGTGACATTCCAAATCTTTTATGACATCTTAGCACTTTTGAAAAAGTATATGGCCTTTGTGACATCACAGTCCCTTTGTGTGCCAATTTTTTGAACTAATGACCATTGAGATCACAAACCCTTTGGGACATCACCAGTGTGACATCACATTGTTGTTCTGATACAAACAGCTCATTTTAACATAATGAAACTACAATATCATCACACCGTTAGGACATCACATTGTTATTGGATGTCATAGACACATTATGAATGCCTATTCTGTGATTTCATGCTATTTCAAATGTGGCATGTTGATGTTCAGAAACATTGTGACCTCATAACCATTGTGACATCATATTGCATGGTGATATCACTAACTCGCTGTGACATCACAAACCTGTCCTGTCCTCATAACTTTTGTGAAGTGCTGCCATTGTGATATCTTAGGCTCTTTGTGAGCTCATAATCTGTATCCAGCCTCATAATATTTCAGGTATGACATGTGATATCAGAAATCCACTGTGACATCATGAAAATTCTGACATCATATTGGCAGATATCATGAGCATTGTGTCACACTGGGACATCAAAAAACTGTTAGGACTTCATCACATTTGTGAAAACATATACCTTTGCAGACATCACAGTCCTTTTGTGAACTCATATACTCATTTTGAATGAATGACAATTGTGATCCAGTATGGCATTGTGACATTTCCAATTCATTGTAACATCACAAACCTATTGTGACCCCATCACCAATATAGCATCACTTAATAATTGTGACATCAAAACATTATTATGTCATAGTATTGTGACACACATTACCATTGTGATATTACTGTTCCATTGTGTTTTCACAAACCCAGTATGACCTCATTACATTCAAGAAAATTCATGGCCTTTGGGACTTTAAGCATCTTCTGTGAATTTGCATCCCCATTGGGAAGTAGCAGCAATTAAAATTAGACATGTGGTTGTGATATTACAAACTCATGACATCACAAACCTATTGTGACCTCATCACCACTTTGACCTCAAAAACCACTGTAAAATCACATTGTCCATGATTTCACAATCACATTGTGACATCCAAAACCTATTATGATCTTTTAGAACCTTTCAAAAACACATGGTCTTTGTGATGTTGCAGTCATTTTGTGTACCAATATCCTCATTGTAAAATAAGGAAAATTGAGGTCAGACCTGCCGTTGTAACATCACAGTGACATCATCATAAATGTGACATTATATAGTCATTAAAATACCATCAACTCATTTTGACAATACCAACCTACAATGACATCATAGCATTATGAAATCATACTATCATTGTGATGTCATAAACAGTTTTGAATGTCTATTCTGTGATTTCATTTTATTTCAAATGTGGCACGTGGGTTAATATCAGAAACGCATTGTGACCTCATAGCCATTGTGATATCACAATCTCTTCATGACATCACATTGCCACTATGATACCACTAATCAACTGTGACAACACAAACCTGTCCTGTCCTCATAACTTTTGTGAAATGCTGCCATTGTAATATATTAGGCCCTTTCTGAGCTCATACTCTTTTTGGACCTCATAATATTTCAGATATGAAATGTGATATTAGAATCCACTGGGACTTCATGACCCTTGTGACATCAAATTATCAGATGTCATGACCATTGTGTCATGGTTTGTGACATCACAAACCTTCACAGTTTCTGTGTGGCATGGAGTGAGATCCTTTCATATTTTCAAGTAAATGTGAAGGACTCTATAGAAAACTATAAGCGAATGTTTGATGCTTTGCTAGTGCTAAGTGTTGGCTATTTGGAAGCAAAACACAGAACAGCCAGGGTTCATTGATTCCTGTCAATGATGAAACCATTCAATCACTGAGCTCTTTTCTGAACCCTCACTCCATGTGTGAATGACAGAGACCCAAGAGAGGCCATGAGCAAAGGGACTTGATGTGACCTGGCTGCAGTTTGAATGCAGTCTCAAAGCAGGGAGAAGTAGGATGAACTTTCAGCGTGTAAGAAACCTGACCCATCACTGGTACTTTCATGCTATGTAGATAGAGGTCAGCCATTAACAATTCAAACAATACATTGAAATAAAAAGTGAAAAAAATACAATGACATCAGTATTCAAATACCAAATCGCGAGATGATGGCAAGTGAAATGAACTCCAACACATGGACACAAAAGGATTCTCTATGTTGTAGTTTTTAATGTACTACGTGGTTTCTTTTTCCTTTTGTGTCTTTAGTTCCCCATATAGTTTATCCCCTGCTATTACTGTATTGATTTTGGTACCCTGGGTATTGTATGTATGTTTGTCTGAATTAGAGAAGAGAAGGGGAACAAAAAATGATGAGACAAAGGACAAAGTGGGAATGAATGCAATACAATATGTTGGAAAGTTCTGTACAACTTGGGGTGGTTTCTTGTGCAGGGAAAATGGGAGAAAAATGGGGGAGAGGGTAACAAGTTTGACAAGGAATGTACTCATTACCTTACTTATGTAATTAACTGTAACCCCTATATACATCACCTTGACAAAAAAATAAAATTTAAACAAAAAAGAGAAGTGGACTGTTGGTATCCTGGACCACACTGCCTCATCTCTTAGCATTAGAGGGAGAGGAATGGGAAAAAGTTACAATTGAACTCTGATGCAATATCACTGATTAACCAAATCATCTTTTGATCAAAGCTGTTAGTTATTCATCCCATCATGTCCCTATAATT